TTTGTCATTGCACACATGTTCCGTCCATGGTATTCTCAGCATCCTTCTTTAGGATTATATTTCTGTTGCTTCAAATCTCTTTCTCATCTGTGAGGAGAATGTTTCCACCTTCTGTTAAAACGGTTCCCAGATATTTAAATTTAATTTGATTTTGATGACTCCAATTTCTATTTTACAAGTCGGGCTGTCCATTTTGTTGGCAACCATGCATTGAGTCTCTTTTTTTTTTTTTTAATTGACATTTAGTCCTTTCTGTTCACTTTAAACCATTTGGGAGCAGTATGATCCAACATTATTTTGCTTTCATCTGCTCACCAAATTCTGTGCTCAAGTTCAGCAACTTTGAAACCCTGTTTAAAATAGCATCTGAAAACTGTCAGAAGGCGCCACCAATTTTAACATCTGAAAGAAAAAAAGCTATAGTTGAATAGCACTGATGCTGATATTATATAAGAACGATAGTCTCCCTTTTGATGGGCATATGCTTTAAACTTTGTAGTAAAGGTCTGTAAAAATACTTTTGATACACCCTTATATATAATTCTTTAGATGTGTACATGAAATAAGCTTTGGAGTAAAGGTCTGTAAAAAAAAAAAAAAAAATTGATACAAACTTTTTTTTCTACATGCAGCATGTGAAAGCATGGATTATATAATAAAATTAATGATATATTGTCATCAAAGATAGTTGTTAGATATATACATGAAATCAGTCTGAGATTAAGTGTTTGCAAAAAACACAAGTACTTTTGAAGAACCAGAATATATTAATCGTATATTTAATAGTTTAGAGTCTTTAGATGTCTACATGAAATAAACTTTTGAGTAAAGGTTTGTCAAAAATGAAAAAAAATTTGGGATTGGGTTAGTGCTTTTGATGGCATATTAACTGCTTTTTGGTCATTCAGTGTTAAAATATTTTTTATACTTGAGTTAAATGTTGGTCAGGTTTATATGTGAGTCTATAGGTGAACATTGGGATGATTTTATACTAGAGTCTATAGGTGAACATTGGGCGATTTTATACTTACCTGAGTCTCATCTGTTTCACACTCTATCCTCATCTTTTGAACAGGAGTTGAGGTGTATCCTTTGTTTCCTGTTTAGGATTGAGTGATCAGTTCCTTTTAAGGTTTTTTTCATTGTCTTTCACTCCAAGTAGCATCTTGCATCTTAGTAGCATTTTTTCCTTGCCTGGGATAAATTGATAAAAAAGAAAAATTAAGAAAAAATGTTGTCTGGGTTTATACCTGATTCTATAGGTAAACATTGAACATTAGTTACTGAAGGGACTTAACTGAAAACTGAGATATCCAGAAAAGGCATGGGATGTTGAACTAGAATAACCTTCTCCCATGGACTAAATAAAGGGTTCGGTTTGATATTCCCACATACATCACATGAAGAAGGCCGGAGTGTAGAATGACTGAAACATTATGAAGATGACATTAGGGATGAGTACAACAGTCCAAACAATGTAAATAGTGTAAATAGTTACAATACTTCATCTCAGAAATAAAGACAGATGCTGAAGAAGGCTGAAGTGTACAATGGTTAGAACATCATGAATGTAACATTAAAGATGAGAACAAGTCTGAATAATGTAAACAGGAGGAGAAATTGTTACAATACCTCATCTCAGGAATAAAGACAGAGGTTTATACCTGATTCTGTAGGTAAACATTGGTTGGTTCTATACCCTATTTGATTGGTCAGGTCCTGATTCTGTAGGCAAACATTGGTTGGGTCCATGGCTTGATTCTGTAGGTAAACATTGGTCACATCCATGGCTTGATTCTGTAGGTAAACTTTGGTCAGGTCCATGGCTTGATTCTGTAGGCAAACTTTGGTCAGGTCCATGGCTGATTCTGTAGGCAAACATTTGTCACGTCCATGGCTTGATTCTGTAGGCAAATATTGGTCGGGCCCATAAGTGATTCTGTAGGTAAACTTTGGTCGGGTCCATGACTGATGCTGTAGGTAAACTTTGGTCGGGTCCATGGCTTGATTCTGTAGGCAAACATTGGTCAGGTCCATGGCTTGATTCTGTAGGCAAACATTGGTCAGGTCCATGGCTTGATTCTGTAGGTGAACATTGTTGGTCAGGTCCATGGCTTGATTCTGTAGGCAAACATTGTTGGTCAGGTCCATGGCTTGATTCTGTAGGCAAACATTGTTGGTCAGGTCCATGGCTTGATTCTGTAGGCAAACATTGTTGGTCAGGTCCATGGCTTGATTCTGTAGGCAAACATTTATTGGTCAGGTGAATGGCTTGATTCTGTAGGCAAACATTGTTGGTCAGGTCCATCTTGATTCTGTAGGCAAACATTGTTGGTCAGGTCCATGGCTTGATTCTGTAGGCAAACATTGTTGGTCAGGTCCATGAGTGATTCTGTAGGCAAACATTGTTGGTCAGGTCCATGAGTGATTCTGTAGGAAAACCTTGGTCAGGTCCCTGACTGATTCTGTAGGTAAACATTGGTCTGGTCTGAAATCATTCATCTGGAATGTTGCCTCTTTGTTGTGTGAGAGTCTTACCCCCCTGCAGAGGATGCATTCAGTGTCTACTAGGCTCTATCAAAATAGTAAAAACAACACTAATAATGTTACTATGTGGATCTCATCTTGATTGACAAGTGCTTGGAGAGCAATCACCCTGATATTATGCTTATGCACAGGAGCAGCCATGAATTTGTTTGAATAGATGTTGCAGTAGCTTGAGATAAGAATATTGTAAAGGCAGAGCAAGCCATAATAGAAAGGTACCAAGATTTGACAGGGTAAATCAGAGATGGTGGACAGACAGTTGCATGCCTAAACAAATGCATCCCTGGATATTTGCAAATCTCTTTAATATAGATATTTACACACCAATACCTTTAATTACTCTAAACAAATAGAAATGTAGTTACCATAAATAAAAAAAAAAAAACGAGAAAAATTTCTTTTTTAAAGCAAGAGAAAATTAAGCTAGCAGTTTCCATTCACACTAGCAGTGCAAAGCACAAATACCTGGTAGATTTTGGATTTTATAGATTATATTTCTATTTGGAACCCATGGCTAAGTTCCAAAAATCAAACACTGGTGTTGAAATATTTGTGCACAAGGAAAATTACAGCTACCATTATCATAAGAAAAATGCCGATGAAACAAAAGTCTACTGGTGATGTGTAGAGTGATCTTGCAACACTATTAATCTGTCATTCCATTTTAAACAAAAATGAACTTTTAATTTTTTTAAATTTTATTCCTTTTTTAAAAGTTTAAGATTATTACCTATGCTTTTTTCAAAATTTAGAGTAATTGCATTTAAAGCTTCAAAAAAATTAGAGTTACGCAATTATTTAGGGAAGCATTTGTCTAGGGATGCAATTGTCTGGTATGCAAATATTCAGTACGCAACTGTCATAGAAGCATCAGAGACATAAGTCATGCAGTGATGTGGTTAGACAGAGCTAAGAAATATATATTAATAAATATACATATACGTACGTTTGGGGTGCGACTTAAGTTTTGTTGTTTTACCAACTCATCAGGCACACAATATAACTTATGATTGTTTTAAAAGAATATAATGGGTTTCACTGGAGGAATGCTAAATTACATGCAGATTCACAGCTCAAATTTAAAATAAGTCAAATATAATATTGGTGTGTAAATACAGAAAATAGGGTGTAGGTAGGGGGCCATTTAAAAAAAATTAAAAGCAAATTTAAAGTTTAAAAGAGGAATACCAGTTGATACTTCAAAGTGGTAATATATATTGAAATGGTTAAAGGGGAGTAATCAATATATAACCTAAAATATAAGAAGTGAAAGTGAAATTTGGTTAATACATTTATCCAGAATTAAAATATTTTAAGACAAATTTTTTTCTATGGCTACGACCTAGCATGAGTTCATTCCATTTATTAAGCAGATTTAAATTATTAATATCTTTTTTAAAAATCATAAGTTATATTTGCAGTTAAAATGAGTTGAAAAGTACCCAAATGTATAAATATATATATATATATATATAATATATATATTAAAAAACTTAAATCACACCCCAAATTTATTTAGAAAAAAATATTATGCTTTGTTTTACATAATTTTATTTTACGTGTTTCTGGTCTATATATCTTCAGGTAAAAGTGGAGAATTTCCACATATTATTAAAATAATTAATTTTTTCTTTATGTTCAATGTTAAATATTCTCGATATGAGACATTCTCTTTTTTGTGTGTTGGTAATCCAATTTCCTTCTTGAATTCCAGAAAATCTCATATCAAGAATATTTAACATTGAACATAAGGAAAAATTAATTATTTTAATAATATGTGGAAATCTCCACTTTTACCTGAAGACGGTCATGAGACCAGAAACACATGCATGTAAAATTATGTAAAACAAAGCATAATATTTTTTCTAAATAAATCCACATTACATTGTAAAAAACGTTAGCGGCACCTCTCTTCTTTTTTTTAATATACATACTTTTCTCTTGTTGGAACCACTACTTATATATATATATATATATATATATATATATATATATATATATATATATATATATATATATATATATAGAGAGAGAGGGAGAATTGGAATGATCAGTGTAATATATCTCACTTTTATTAAAGCTTCATCAGAGAATGAGATTGGGAGAAAAATAAGAAATTCTGGTCTTTTTTACTTTTTCTGTTTGATTATCATTAGTTAATCATGTTTCTTGCATATTTGACTTGTGAAACAGATGTTAGTATAATTTAAATTATAATATCTATGAGCTAAAACTATTGCACACTTAAATACATAAAGCAATATATATGGTTTTTCAATTAGTCTTGGAATCCTTTTATTTCTTGTAATTTTGAAGGGACATGTCATCTCTCCTTGAATTCAGAATGCCATAAATTATACTAACCTTTGTTTAACAAGTCTAATGAATGTGAAACCTGAGTAACTAATAAAAATCAAACAACACCTAACCTATCTAAAAAGATAAACCGTTTACGGCCATATAACATTGGTTCCCATATGATCACCAAAGTTAAGCAACTTTGAGCTTGGTCAGTATATAAATGGGTGACTGTTTGGAAATACCAGGTGCTGTAAACTTGGATGTGAAGCTGATGTAATGGATAATCATTCTGAATTATTATTTGGATAGCTGAGCTCCATTTGAAAATGTTTGATAAGCAGTAGAAAATCAATCATTTATTTATGAGGGACGGGCAGGGTGTAATGTTGTGTTAGCTAAGTAAGAAGCAAGCAGAATTATAATATTGCTATGATTATCATTACATTAATAATAACAATAATGGTGATGGTGATAATAAAGATAATGATGATGATAATAAAATTATGATAATGATGGTGATGATGATGATAATAATGATGGTGACAATGATGGTGATAATAATAAAGATGATAATGATATGATGATAATAAAATGATGATGATGATAATATGATGATGATAAAATGATGATAATGATTATGATTATAATGATGGTGGTGATGATAATAAAATGATGATGTTGATAATGATAAAATGATTATAATAAAATGATGATGATAATGATGATAATAAAATGATGATGATGATGATAATGATTATGAAAATAAAATGATGATAATGATTATGATGTTGGTGATGATAATAAAATGATGATAATGATTATGATAATAAAATGATAATAAAATAATGATTATGATGATAATGATTATAATAATGGTGGTGATGATAATAAAATGATGATAATGATAATAAAATAATGATAATAAAATGATAATGATTATGATGAGGATAATGATGTTGGTGATGATAAAATGATGATAATGATTATGATAATAAAATGATAATGATTATGATGATAATAAAATGATGATTATGATGAGGATAATGATGTTGGTGATGATAATGATTATGATGATAAAATGATAATGATTATGATGATAATAAATGATGATAATGATGATAATAAAATGATGATAATGATTATGATGAGGATAATGATGTTGGTGATGATAATGATTATGATAATAAAATGATAATGATTATGATGATAATAAAATGATGATAATGATGATAATAAAATGATAATGATTATGATGAGGATAATGATGTTGGTGATGATAATAAAATGATGATTATGATAATAAAATGATAATGATTATAATAAAATGATAATGATTATGATGAGGATAATGATGTTGGTGATGATGATAAAATGATAATAAAATGATAATGATTATGATGATAATGATTATAATAATGGTGGTGATGATAAAAAATGATAGTGATATTAAAATGATAATTATGATAATAAAATGATGATAAAGGTAATGATAAGATGTTAACGATTCTGATGATAATAGTGATGATGATACTAATAAAGATGATGACAATGATGGTGATGGTAATAATAATGAAAATGCTGATGATAATAATAAAAAATGATTAAGCTAAAGATAAACAATGAAAAGTCATTTAAACGTCATAATACACATCTCTGTATCTCTGGCGTATGTAAGCGCTTTGGTAGAGGGTCTCTATATGCAAACAGTATAAAATAGATGAAAGTTGAATCTGTCTGCATCACCATGGTTCCAGACTTCTGCGGTTGTTCTTCAGAAGTCAGACGCCAGATTTAGCATCCGATCCAAATGACAAATAATGCTGAACCTCAATAGCCAAAATGGTGCTATCAGAAGCCTGTTCGCTCGAATGATATAGTCCTAATAATTTGGTCTGGTCCACTGACCCCATACACACAGCCCCTGCGTTCGTTCTGGCACAGTCTTTAACTGATTCATTTCAATGTTTTCATGTAAATGGCTAAAAGGAGTCCACACTGAAAAGATTTGTTCAGAATTCTTGCACTAATTAAAAGTGATTTATTTCTCTAAAAATAGAAATGGTCATTAAATAGATGTCTAGCTTGCTGGCACCGAGACTAACCTTCCCTTTTGTGGGGTAAAAATTGATTTGCTTGTGTCTATTTCTCTATAAGTATGGAAATATATCCGTTTTTAGTATTTGTTCGTTTGGGACTGTTTTTTCCTTGCTCAAAAGGCTCCATTTATGTGAGTGTGTTGTGACTATACATGTCTATATATATTTCTACATGTGCTTCCACATGTGTGTACGTGTACACATGCTTCTATATGAGTGTGAGTGCACTTGTGTATGTGTGTGTGTGTATGCATGTCTCTATTACAATGTAATTAAACAAGGTTTATACAGTGTGTGTGTGTATATATATATATATATATATATATATATATATATATATGTGAAAAATATATAGAAAATAGGAAGGAACTGGTTAGGTAAATAATCCAAAGTCCCTTAGTATTTTAGTTACTATTTTTAAAAAATAGTGCTCGATAAAATGTAGCGATTTGGAATCATATTTTTAAATAAATAATTATATATATATATATATATATATATATATATATATATATATATATATATATGATAGAAATTATTAATCCCTTATAATAATTTCTATCATGTGTATATCATTTTTGAACTGGCTTCTAATGCTCTAGAGTGAGCGGCTTGGTAAGAGTAGTCGTGGCTCCAGGGGGCACAGTCCTATGGTTAGAGAGAATCTCAGTAAAGTTCCGCCACGGAATATGTGAGCGAGCGGAGCTATATTGAGTCTGATTTGCAATCTCTTCATCACCAAGGCCTGTAGGAACAGTTGGTATGATGTTTGCTTGACAACCGAACTGTCAGGGTTTCAATTCTCGGTAGTGGATGCGCACTGCTGATGAGTCCCAAATATAGGACGAAATGGCCGTCCAGTGCTTTCTGCATTCTGTTTAGGTTTCAGACTTGATGAATTACTTATATATATATATATATATATATATATATATATATCTCCTTTAAAAATTAGGAAGTCAATTGAATCCACTACCTTGGTTTCGACCTTATGGTATCCTCAGGCGATTTTTATCAAACACCTTTGCCTTTCTTCTCTTCCTCCTCCTCCTTCTACTTCCTTCTTCACATCCTCCTCCTCCCCCCTTTCCATTACACCTGATGTTGTGTTTATTTATTTATTTTTGAATATCAAATGACCTCTCAACACTATATTATTTTCAAAAACATGATGCCGAGTGTAATGAAAAGGGAGGAGAATGTGAAAAAGGAAGTAAGAGAAGTGGGAAGAGAAGAAAGGCAAGGATGTTTGATAAAAATCGCTTGAGGATCCCAAAAGGTTGAAATTAAGGTAAGCGGATTCAGTTGACCTCCTGACTTTTTAAAGTTAAAAGCTCTACATGTTATTTTTATTTTTTCATACATGTATTGAACACTTTTAATGCTACTGTTTCCTGGTCTGATTCAACTCTGACCATTAACCATTTATGTATTTTATTGAAAATGAAACAGAACTAGGTATTTTAATTTAATTTATATAACTGAATTTGAAGTTTTTAGCTTCTGTTTTTGAAACATGGTAATTCCTGTGTAGCAATGGAACCATATTTTTTTTTTTAAATAATTATAATCTAAGCTCTACTTGTGTATCAAACACTGTTTTTTAAAAATAAAAACAAAAATACTAAAGAACTTCAGATCCTCAATCTAACATTTTATCAATATCTTTGCACACACACACACACACAAATATGATTATTTTCTGTAAAGTGCTAAATAGAAAGCCTACAAAAATCCACAAAAGAAAAATCCACAAATAATAATAATCCCAACAACCATGATAAAAGTAGGCACATAATCTTACGAATCAACTCCATAACAGCTACCATTGAAAATAACCTATCCAATGTTAACACAAAATTCATCAACACCGCCTCTGAAACAATAAGAGATATAGTTATCATCAAATGAGATAGAAGCAACAAGAGGACAACTGCAGCAATAAAACTGATTGTACAAAATATGAACATCATAGAGATATGCTGCACAGCAACCCTTTAAACATGCTTGTGGTTCACATTTGACACACACACACACACACACACACACACATATATATATATATATATAAAGAAATAGAGTGTGCTATATTTATGGGATAAAGTGCTCAATATCAGGGATAGAGCGTATATAAATATAAAAGTGAACTTTGAAGTCAACACTTGGAGGCAGCAGGCTGTTTCATGCCAGACACAATCATCAGGCCAACGTTTGTATATGGATGTCAGTGTGTGTGTGTATATATATATATATATATATATATATATGTGTGTGTAAAAAAATATATAGAAAATAGGAAAGAACTCGTTAGGTAAATAATCCAAAGTTCTTTAGTATTTTTGTTATTATTTCTAAAGGATATTATTAATAATATTTATGCTCTACTTTTGTATTGATCTTGTTACTTTAATTTCAATTTAATTCAAATAATTATATTGAAGTTTTCGGCTCGTTTTGAAACATGAGAACTCTTATGTAGCATTGGAATCATATTTTTAAAAATAATAATTTGTAATAATTTATCTTGAGTGTTGGTTGATTGATTTTGATTTGGAGGACCTCAAGAATTTGAAGTCTTTGTTTATTGTTTCAATATAAGGGAGCTGACTGAAAATTGGTAGAAATGTAAAATGGCATTTATGTTATATGCATTTTAATATGTTGTTACTATATTCATAATAAATTTTGTTGAGTGTTGTTTGATTTTGATATCAAGGGCTTCGAGAATTTGAAGGTTTTGTTTATTATTTTCATGGTGTAGTCTATTGGTGTTGTCAGCAAGTATTTCCCTATATTGTGAAATGGACAGGAATGTGTTTTTTAAATGATGGGTGAGAGAATTTGTATCCAACAAATGAAGTGATAAGGTTGTAGTTGTCAAGCCAACATATGTACTTACTTTTTTTTTGTCAGAGATACAATCTTCCAAAGGACATTTAAACTTATATACAATATTGGTCTTTTCCAAGACACTATATCTATAAGGGAGCTAACCAGAAATGGTAGGAATGCAAAATGGCATTAAATGTTGATCAAATGTATTTCAAAACGTTGTTGCTACACTTGTAATAAATTTTGTTCAGTGTTTGGTTGGTTGCTTTTGATATAAAGGGCTGCAAGATGTTTCAATTTTTTTCTTTATTATTTTCATGGTGTAC